CACAGTCAGAGGGCCTGGCTGTTATGACGGAGCTCATACGAGCAGCACCGATGGTGCCCTGACCCACGAGCAGCTAATAGCAAGCATAGCCTGCCCCCCCCATTGAAAAACCCTGCATGGGAGGCTCAGATGCAGTGATGGAACGACGTTCCGATTAAGAGGAGCAGGCCACGTCGTCGGGGCCGGGGGGTATTCTGCCCCATGGCCCCCCCCCAAACCCCATTCCGTGCTCAAATTTAATCCATCGGAAAAAGCCAAATTGCATGTGACAGGTGGTCTCCAGACAATCCCGCCTGACTTGCTCCAACAAATGTGCAATTTTTACAGCAGCCACCTGCTGTCCTGTCCCCTCCGCAAGCCACCACCACCTCCAGGGGACCGGGGAGGGGGCTGAGGTGGGGCAGAGCGGGCAAGGTCTCGGGTGGGGCTGTCACCGGATGGTCCTCCACCATAATGGCTGGACAAAACCCACGACGACGAGACAAAGGTACGCATGAGTCACTAGATGGCTACATGGATGCCCCCCCGCCCCTGAAAAGCCAACGGATTCGGTGCAGTCATATGCGAGAAATCTTCTTTAACTAAACATGCTGTCAAAGGGTTTATGCAGTGTTTATATAGAAAAACAGAGCAACAGTATGATCTTGCATTAAAAGTTACTTGACAGCAATATTGTAATCATTTCGGCTGACTGCTCTCCTGTGTTAAACTTCAGATTGCTTTTCTGCTTGTCAGTAGAAGTCAAATTGACTCCATCTGCCATTCTGTTCTTCATCAGGTCCAGTTACTCATGGTTCCTTTACAGAAAGACTGGGAGAAGAAAGATCGAAACAGAACGCCGGGAAATGAGTAAGACATGCCTCCAATCTTTATCACCAGACGAAAGTCAGACAGCTGAGAACTACATGCGCCATATTCAAAACTCAGCTAGCCGAAGACGACTTTGATAAAAATTCTAAAACATTCTGCCCCTTTCCCAGATTTCTCATAATTCAGAAATTTCCAGGGCTCTTAAACAGCCCAGGAGACGAACCTCAATTACCCTCACAGTTCACATCACGGTGCTGCTTACGCGCCGACGGTATGTTCAGGTTCCTCCTCTGAGGCCACGCCCCATTAGGCAGGCTACGACAGCCAATCACAGGCTCGTCTCCAGTTAGGGATATTTGAAAAGCACTAACATTTTACACTCGTTTCCTATCATATTATGGGAAACGCATCATATGACAACCTAGGCAAAAGTTACAAATAAAATTCATGATAGTGAGTCCGCCACGTTTTCACAATCATACTGAAAAAAGCAGGGGTTAAACAGCAACCCCTCTGACCCACATTAATGACATGAGTCATGTTCAAGGTAGAGCTTAATTTACATTCAATTTATTCCTCAATTATTCATTCCATACTATTGCTTTACTTTCCCCCCAAATTTAAGTACTATTCATTAATCTACAATTTAGAACAGAACCATTGCTTAAAACTGCAGCGTATTAAATACTAGTAATGTAATGTCCTGCTATCCTGCACGAAAAAGCATAAACAGTGACCAGTCGGGGTCTAAAGTACACGACTGCACAGAAATACAAGAGGATTTAAAAAGTTACAGGTAAGAGGTGCATCAGCAAAACAGGTTTCATGCAAAGAGAAACTAACACACAACCAATAAGGTGACCATTCATCTAGATGTCACAGCTAAGGGACACATCTACACCATGTACACCTTATCTACAGTCAAAGGAGAGGCAAAGTTTCATTCAATTCTAATGTCATGTATGTCCAAGTGCTACTGAATGACAAAATGTAACAATGCCATAACGGCTGAAGTGTTTTGCCTATGATCAGCAATTAGCTAACCTGCCGGCACATGTACATGCAGATCTGAAAGTGAATACTAATCCATGCATAATTCATGAAAATGTACACAAATGTAAGCGATTAAGACGTACAAATTTGAGGGCTTTCCCTCACTCATATCAATCACTCAGAAATGCCAGGATAATAGTGCACGGTAAAGATACGACATATGCTATGTAAAACTCTTAAAAAAAAATAAAAGTAACAAAAACAGGTTTCTAGTACCTGGGGTGCTCATCTCCCCAGGGGTAATCCGTTACAATCCATCCTGGGAATCATCTATTAAGTCGGAGCAACAAGACAGATCATGTGCTCTGCGAGGGTGCCAGGAATTCACCTGCAGTGTGAACTACAGAAACAGCAGTCCGTGAGCTTCTGCTCACGCGTGAGTTTTCCGAGGCCTGGGGGCTGATTAAGAGAAATGAGTCACAATGCGACAAGGGACCCGCGGTTCACGAAGAGAAGGCAAAAGGAGAGTATCCACAGATAGACACACGAGGCTATATCAGCATCGCAACAATTCAACATGACCTCAAGCAAACTCAACAAAGCAAAGCCCCCCTTGTTTGAGAATAAGAAAACAGTCGCCAGGATTTCCAGAAGACAATCTGACTGGAAACACAGAAGCCCTGTTTACACTAGGCTTTAAAATGCATCTTGGATGACCGGATCACAAGTAGACAGTGCAAAATACAAGTGTAAACAACCACCCAGACGCACTGTGAGCCGATCACTCAGATCACTTGCCAAGGTGGTCCGGGATGCATTTGACCACATCTCTCTTGCACTGTAAACACTAATGTGTGTCAATGCATCCTCGACAAGGACGTCGCGATAGCTATGCATGGCGCTGTCCGACCTTCTAGCAGAAGTAGCGCAGACAGTAATGAAATCTGAACACACGTGGTCAGCTGGACACCTTGGAGATGCATGATACATACAGGCGGAAATGGAGATGTCTCGACTGTCACCTTGTGATCCAACCATCTGAGACACATGTTAAGACCAAGTGTAAACAGGGCCAAATACTCGGACACTTCAATAACCAACTGGGGTTCAGTCAGGCACACGGGTTTGCATTTAAAACCATCTCACGCATCCGTCTGTAATACTTCTCCGGAAATCTTACTGATATTTAGCTACAGCACGGAAATAAAAGAACCCACTCGAGTGCAGCCCGAGATGCGGTAAGATAAGGACGCCGGGATTCCTGGCGGCGTCCTCACGGAGCATCCCCCATCCAAGCGCAGATAAGACCCCAAGCCTCGCTCTCCCTCCAATGGGATTCGGCAATCGGGCTCTTCTGCTGATGGGATCTAAACCAAAGTGGGCGGCCTCGCCTTCCTGCCGTCGGCAGATTCACCGCGCTTCTCCCAGAGGGAGAACGCTCCGCGGAGAAAAAGGAGCGAAGCAGCCTCCGAGTTACTAAGCGGCATGAGGATGGCCTTAACAGGCGTTCCCAGCATAAAGCCAAGACAAGACGACACCCAAGTCTCTTTCTTTCAAAATGTTTATCGGTGTTTATGTCGGCATCCATTTAAAAGTTGTGAGGAAAAAAGGGGAGAAAAATTAACTAGTAAAAAAAAGAAAAAGAAAAAAGAAAAGAGCAATGCTTTGTGGGAAGTTCTTCCATAAAATAAGGGAGTACTTACGAAACAGTATGACACTCCTACCAGAAAGCAAGCTAAAATGCTACTTCCTGAGCACTTGGTGGTAGACACACCCAACACCACCCCCCCACCCCCCCCCGCATAAGAAGGGAAATCTGTCTTTTCAGCTCTGTGGCACAATGAGGTACTTGGGGATTAACACCAGGACACAGCAAGACCCAAGACTTCCTCTGGTTCTAACTTAGAAATTCCTGCAGATGTAAATGCAGGAAAAGAGGGAGTCAAAGGCTTGGGAGAGTGTTAAAGGTTAAGGGCGACGGACACTCTGGGGAGAGCAGATGAGGTGGTCCTACACGTACACCAACCGCCAAAAGGCCCACGCTCTGGGTCTGGTGGGAACCGCACCCCTGCTCAAAGCTCAACTTGGGGGGGCGGGTGGGGAACAAGCAACCAGGTACATGAATTGGCCGTATGGAAAATAAGTACTTTGCTTTGGCCTTGAAAAACCTTGCAAACAGGTGAGCCTCAAGGGCAAAAAGATACAGAAATTCCACAAGCAGACGAAGCTAAAAGACTGATACATGGACTCCAAGGACAAAATGGCAGCTCATTCGTGGTATAGCAAACTGAAAAGCAGCAGTTATTTTTTTGCAAATATGACTCATGACTTCGAAGGACAGAAATCATCTATCCTTGTCGGACATGCTTTGTACCATCTGAACACGTCTGCAAGGTAGAAACAGACAAATTAGGCAATGAATAAACCCCCTTGTCCCGGTGATAAATAGGGGCCCTTTGACTTCCCATTACAGAGCATGAGGACATGGACTGACAGGGAGACACTCATTGTGCCTCTTGTCACCAAGCTTACCGACCTGGGGAAAAAAAATCCCAGTAATTACAGGGTAGAAAAATCAACCTGAAGAGTGCATAATTAAACATAAGTTTATGCTTTATAAATCACAACAATGTATTTTCCAAGAATGCTTCTTCTCACAGGACCGATAAGACTACATCTTTAAATTGTGTAATGAATATTAAAGTATGCATTTTGAGGCAATTTCTTTTTTAAAATGTTCCTTTCCACTTGTTTCAGGTAGCATGTTCAGATACTGTGTCATTATAGTCCTGCAAAGAATATTAGCTGCGTAAATAAAACAAGAGGCAGGTAAAATATCACCAAATACCATCAGTCCCATTGATCAAGAGATGTTTATGTAATATTAAATTGTGTACTTTATGATTGCTTTTCTCTTCTCACTTCTTTTAGATTCCAAGTTAGGACATTACATCAGTATTTTTGTTATATTCTCTGGAAATAATCAAATGGACTGACGGTACTTTACCCAAACTTTTTCTTAAAGACGCAAATGCATAGATTCCAGAGCTACAGTGAAGACAGGTCTCGAACTTTGTTTTTAGTGTTAAATTTGCCAGTTTAAAAGGCAGGTTTGTTGGAAGCTGGGGATTAGGCAGGGAAATCACACCCATTTCGGTGCAGATGCACACCTCGGAGCCCATGGGCCATTTTTTTACCTGCTGCTCTCAAACTCCTTGCTGTCCTTGTCCGGTATCGGCTCCGGGCCGCTCTGGTGCTTCTGCACTATCCTCATCCCCCCCGCCTTCACTGTCATGGGAGATAAGCCATAATCAATTTTCTACTTGCAATGTAAATGACATTACAGCCACAGTGATTCATTCTCCTGATAACGTTAGAAATAAATCCCAAATAAAACACCCTCTACATCCCCTAATCGTAGTATCACACTAAAACTATTTTTAGGCTATAGCGGAGACCTCTTCAATGCAACAAAGTCATTAGAGGGCATTACACGTACGTGCAATCATAGTATCAACCTTAAATCAACAGTCAACAAAGCAACACAATTTGCTTTGCGTTGATAAGGGCTGAATACATCCAACAAATTTATCAAGACAAATATTACAATAACTCGAAGAGCCCGGAACTGCAGTTGAGGTGGCTGATGTACACGTATGCGTCCTAAAATAACAGCCCACGTTGGCAGGCGCAGTGGCCTTTGGACCACATGCAAAACCTTAAACCTCTAACAGTATAAATGCGGCTTGTTCGTTAAAAAACAAAGTGGCGCTTAACATACAACGTGAAGCCGATGTTTTATTTGCTTTTCACGGTCAATGCTAGGAAATACGGGCTGCTGCAGTCCAAAGCGCCGATCTAAAGCGACAACAGAGAAGGAGGGTGTTGAGTGAAAGTAAAAAATGCATCGCGGGGCCGACACTGAGCCAGGTATCCGGAGAAGGTACCGTGTCAGGACCGGCCTGCCTGCGGCTAGCGAGCTAACGGACTAGGACAGGCGGAACGGGGGCGGGCACGTAGGCTGACGGAGCCGGGCTCAGCGAGGTGTAGCTCGCAGCATGCAAAGTGAGGGCAATACGTAATAATAACAATAAGTATAATAATAATTATTATAGTATCTTAGCAAAAGCCAGGCTAGCTAACTAATCTAGTAGTGATACGATTCGCGACACTTAACGGATGGAAGTCAGAATACGGTGCAAGTCGGAAAAGGCAGCAGGCGGACTCTGAAATCACAGCATGGCTAGGCTCGGCTCGGTTCGGCAGGGCTCGGCTCGGCGCGGTTCCGATCCCAGCCCAGAGTAACAGCACGGGTTTAGTACCAGCAGGGGGGTGTCCGGCTTTCGTCTCCGTTTTCTCTTTCGGTGGCGAAGACATGCTTGCAGAAATGAAACGCGGCGCTTAAAGCGAATAAATATGTGCGCTTTTATCCCCCCCCGAGGTTCGCCTCGCTTCCGTATGGACAGGTTCACAGCGGACTTCGGGTGGCACGGTCAACGTGGCTTTTCCCGTCTCGCTGTTTGGCAACACTGGCTGATGACGTCACAGGATACGGTCAGCGGGACCGAGCATTGGCTCGGGGCGGAGTCAAACTGAGACAAGGGGCGGGACTAATAGGCACATGGGTCAAATGAATTCTCTGGATGTGCCGGTTTTGTGTTAATATAAAAACAACCTCCAGGTTGTAGTCTGCTAAAAAGTACACAGGAAGAGAATCATGAAAACCCCTAAAAGATGATGTCAATATTCAATATTTACATACTGTAAGCAATTGTGTTATACCACTAAGTCCTCTTTGAAGAAGAAATAATGAAGTAAATTATAAATAAAGTAATAATCATTACCATTAATAGGGGGGGAAAGGTGTTTTAATGCACTATTATTAATGATTCTGTTACTTTGCATCATACCTATGAGCACAAAGTAAATAATTTGATTCTATGAAACAAACCGCTGTAGTCATTGTCTGATGTTTGAGAGAAAAAAAATCAATTTTATTTTAACCTGAATACTCTGCCCTGAGATTTAGATGGATCTGACTCATGCTGAAATGTTAACAGAGTTAAATCCATTCATTTCCTGCAACTCCTCACCTTGTGTGGGATTGCAGCACGCCTGGAGCCTAACCCAGGCAGAAAGTACACACACAGCAATTTAGTGACATCACTGTCTTTGACAGGGGGGGTGCGGAGGGGGGGCGGAGGGTATCTCCTTCATCCCACAGAACATGGAGCACTGAGAAATGAAACAAAAAGCCAGAGCCGGGACCCACTCAGCAACTGTCAAGCTCACTATCTTTTTCAAATATGTCTGCTTTGAATGAGCTTTCTTAGAGAATTTTTTGTTTACAGTACATATGTCTCTGTCGCTGTTTATCTCTCATCAAATGAGCAAACAAGATTCAATTCTTTGAACTGATTCATCCTTCATAAATGGACTCTACGCAGTGGCACTGTAACGAATAAAATTCAGGCTCCTGGAAGAATACGTGGTGTATTAACAGGTCCCAAATTCTGAAAATGAGCTATTGTCCTTTGAAGAAGAAATTTCTGCACCCCGTAAGTGACACTCAGGATATTGTTTCAATTTTCCTGCCATGAGATTCTCTTACTATTAAAGGTCATTTTAAATCTGTGGATAATGTCAATCTGACCATGTCCAAAGTCTCCAATGTTGCCTGGTGCATGAGGTCAGCTTTTGCATCTCTTTAAAGGCAACACACAATCTGCAACCTGCCACTGTAACAATGCTGCCAACTGATAATGAATTCCTCATTAGGGATGAAGCAAAGTTGGACACGCTGTTGTCAGGACCGTTGCCCGCACCGATAATGATATTCTAACTCCCTTTGAGGATGTCACAGACTTTATGGCAGTATCTGACACCATCACTGCTGGCTGTATCATTCCATGTGCCAGAGGAATTTCCAGCCATGTCAGACCAATGGCAAGCTTGTCAGAAACCTAAAGGAAGCAGCAGCCAAGTTTCTCCAAACAACCTGGATCATGGACAGGTGTATCAATCAAGAGGGCTACCCCAAATACGAAAGGTTCACTGGCACAACAGGACAAAGATGCCCATTTAGCCACAAGGAACAACCACATCCAAAGGGCATTCAGCCTCCAGGAAAATCCACTGGACATTCATTCTGTGTAGTTCAGTTATCACTTAATTTGCAATAAGGTGAAGCAGACGTCTGCTATCAACTGCTGGCCCCAGACAGGCATAAAGTGTGTTCAATACAGAGCAGAGATGCCTACCGAATCTCTGCATGCCGCTATGGAGACTCAGCCAGTGCTGTAGGGCATGCCTACCGACAGGAACTCTGAAATGCTGCATTATTGGAACTAGACAGCTAATAAAACATTACACTGATGGCATTTCAGCTGAAAAAGAGTACATAAAAAATGAATTTCAAATTGATATAGAACATCCCAAATCATTCATTTAAAATACTATCAAATATAACCTAAATTTGTAAATAATATAAATGCAAATTTCCAAAGATACATGCATACATTTCCAATATTCCAGTATTCCACATGTTATTTTATTATGACTATTATTTATTTTTTTAAGATGAATAATTGATAGAACAGTATAATACAATAAATACATGTATCTTATCCCTAGTATGTTTGGAAATGATTATATATATATATATATATATATATATATATATATATATATATATATATATATATATATATATGTGTGTGTCTGTGTCTGTGTCTGTGTGTGTTTGGTTGTTTCCGAGATTTTGCTGTGTGGTGCTACTTGATATTCACCCATCACTGTAAATCATGGTGTTATACATCAAGTGGTGGAAAGGCCCCGGCGTGAAAACACTCGCAGAGAAATATAGCTGTGAAATGTTGGACTTGCATGTGATATGCTCACACAAACTCATTTCCGTCATGGTGCCGCAGTGGGTACGGCTGTGGTGGAAGCAGGCTGAGGAGGTCAGTCCAGGCTCCTCTTCCAAGGGCACAGACGCTAACTCATTCTGGCAGATGCCCAGATGTTCCCAAGCCAGCTGCGAGATATAATCCCTCTCGTGTACCCTGGTTCTTTCGAAATTCTTATCTTGGACAGGGTCATACGGGGGCCTAGATCCTATGCCAGGCAACACTTGAAACAAGGCAGGGAACACCCTGGATGGGCTATCAGTCCTTCATAAACTAGGGGCAATTTAGAGATACCAAATGCATGTCTTTGGACCATGTGAGGAAAGTGCAGGATCCAGAGCAAAACCCAGATGCTCTGAGGAGAACATGCAAGCTCCACATGCACAAAGGGGGTAATGGAGCAGGCGGTAACAGTCCTTCCTACTGAGATACATACCCATCCACTGTAGCACCTTTATGCAGCACCCTTTATTTCTGTATTCTGTTTTTCACAGCAAATTGTTGATGTTATTAGTTTAGATTTCATGTTAAAATAGTGGTCATAAATGTTACCATGTCGGGAGGGGTACATTTAAGGGCTCCATGGAGATTTTTTGCCTAGGGCCCCCCCCCCCCCGTGTCCGTAGAATCGCCTCTGTCCTTGTCACGGAAGATTAAAAAGACCCAAATGTGGCAATGCCCCATAAAGCTGAAGTTTGATTCAAAACAGAAGAAGCCCCTTACGCTTCTTCGACTTCTTAATAGTCATAATAATAATAATATTCTTATATTGTTATGGTCCCATTGCTCAAGAATTCCAGCAGGTTTTTAAGTTCTTCTCAATGTCATTCAGGACCATCAAAAGCAGATGAACCAGCAAGATTCGAGCTGTGGGGTTATGCAATAACGTGCCGGAGCCGGGCAACCTTCACCATACGATAATCTTTGCTGAAATTCTCTTGGTGCAGAGAGAGGGCGCTATCTAAGGATTTCATGCTTTGAGGACCTGCAGAAAGTAGAAATAGTGGGGAAAGTTCAAAGGTCAAAACAAAAAATTTTGTGATGTAAAAGAGCCAGAAGTAATTTCAAAGTGAGAAGAGCTAGTTCCTGTTCTTCAGAGTTTTGTCCTTTGAGAAAGTAGCCTGCAATCAGCCATTCCAAAGATGACAGCTCTGTTAGAGGTATCTTCATCATTTTGACATGATACTTCTAGAGATGTTATATTATTGTCCTCAAGGAATCTTTGGCAATAATCCCACCCCCTTCGCTCAGTCAGTGTCCTGTGAAGCAGGCCTTGGTCTGAAAGTCTCTGTTGTTCAGTATATACTTATGAAGTTAATATTTATTTTATCTGTTCCAATAAAGTCATAGGCATTAATTTGATTGTTTACTTTAATATCACCATGACCCTGTAATGGAGAAGCGGCCACAGAAGATGGATAGTCATAGGTTTTACCTCAAGTACGAAATGTTATATATGCAATATAACCCTAATACATAAAGTTCACCTTTTTGAGTATATGCATAGCATCGTCTATTGATGTTATTTACTATGGCGTAATGAGATTCAATCTCATCTGCCATAATCCATTCACAGGGAATGAATTCCAATTATATGCCCTATAAGAAGAATTCTCACATTTCATATTCCAGAAATTGCCCTGAGACCCTGATTGACTCAAGTGGTTAGAAGAGAGATGGATAATCCAAAATACATAGGAAACAGTGACTACTATGGGCTTTCGATCTTTAAAAATACAGTTTAATTTAAAATTCTAAGAAACAAAATGTCAGTATATTCAAATATAACAGCTCTGTTTTTGAGTATGAGAGCATGTGGGAAGGCTTGCTGTGTTACATGATAGTTGTCATTTCTGCCGATGCATTGCACCTGTTTATGCCTGTTCTGCTCTCATACCAATCCCCATCTTATCATCCAGGCCTTCTTGTCTTTTGCGCGAACGTGCGACTGTTAGACAAATAGAATCTGCTTAGCCAATGATAGAGGAGTACACAATTGTGAAAGAGAACAGTCACTCATACAAATAATTCCATTTACTCCATTGATTGGCTTGTTAAAAACCGAGTCATTCCATTCAGTCAGAAACAAATATTAATTTCTGATTAAAAGCATGCTGGCTTTAAAACAAGCCCACAATAGGGGTTGCTATGCGGTTGCTATGTTGTACGTCACTCTGTTTTCCCAGGGAACAGGATTGTTTGTGTTCTGGATGGTTATGCTTGTTTAGTAAGTTCCTTCCACACTTGGCCTGCTGGGCGTTGCTGGAGAGTAGTGTCAGCTAAAGTCTGTCCATATAAAGCCCCGTGGCTGACATAATTTTAGGCTCGACATGGCATGAAAACTGGAGTATAGACCCATAGTAGCATGTCTACAAGGATCCAATGTACTGGCCTGAAGCCCCTTGTGAGGAGAATAGCAGGACAGTCATGCACCACTTAATGATGTTTCGGTCAACGGCGGACTGCATATACAACTGCGGTCCCGTAAGATTATAATGGAGTTATGTCTGTAGTGTCTGACATAGGCTCCCGACTTCCTGCGACCCTGAATAGGACAAGCGGTTTCAGAAAATGGATGGATGGATGGATAAAAAATTCCTGTTGCTTTGCGATGTCGTAGACACTGTAATATCCTTGTGCAACA